TTTTTCAACTTTTTCATCTGAGCCTATAACGAAAATTTGTAAAATGTTTTCTGTAAAGCTTGGTGATACATGTATATGCATGTTGAAAATGTTATCGAAGTCGTTGTTGAATTACAACAAATTAAAGATCGCAAAAATCACAGTTTTATCACGATTTTGACCAAAAACTGTGAGAAATGCACTGTGCAGTTTTTAAAATCCTTCAACGCAAGTAGCTCGTCTCTGCGTTATCCGATTTCGATCAAATTTTCAGCACGCGTATAAGTTACCGAGATCTGCGAGAGGCATTTTCTGCATTTTAGTTATAGGCTCAGATAAAGAAAGTTAAAAAACGAGGGTTTTCAATTGTTTCTTTTCATTCCAACTAATAGCAAAATTAAAAAAAAAGCTGTTTAGCCATCGTCTAATGGACTAGTCCCTCTATCATCTAAATAAAATTCAAGTCATTTGGTTTAATATGAAAATAGTTGTTGCATTTGAAAAGGTGTACGAACACTTTTGTGGGCCACTGTAAGTAAACGCCAAATCGAAAAACCGTCATTTCGTGCGCAACAGCCCAGCAGAGTCCTCATAGAACACAGCTTTAGATAGAAGATTCAATGTTCATTAAGAGATCCTAGAGTCTGTCGCAGAGAAGCCTAGAGATTGACGAGTTTCTTCTCGCACTCGGAACCTCCTTCAATTATTGGGGATTCCAAGTTTAGTAGAATCCTGGAAGACTAAAGTTTCAGTGGGAGGCTTCAGAGGTTGGAATTCGCGTAGAGGAGCTTTGGAATTGACAAGTTCTCTTCTTAGCGCTGCAGAATCTCCTATAATTATTAAGGATCCTGGGGTTCGGGGCTCGAGTCGTCGAGTTTCAACTGATTTGCGTTTGAAGCAAACCTTGATTTTTAGACAATTTTTAGCGAATTCTCAGGAAATGGCTTAGGAAGATCTAATCTCGCGGCGTTTCCTAGTCCGCAGCGAACTGTACGCCACCGCAGGGTTAAAAACGTCCGCGTGACGGAAGGAACGCGTGCCACGAGAGGAAGCACGACGGAATACGAAATGCGTTCGAATCGAAAACGAAAACACCCTTATCGTGGAAAGGAAGAAGAGAGAGCGAGAGAGGAACAGAAGAGAGAAAGAGAGTGAGAGAGTTCGAAAGATCGCCGCGGGCCGTGTCCCCTATTCCCCAGCAGACGCTTAGTGCCCATTCACGGGCCGTTCTCCTCCCTTTTCCGTGATTTTTCCGGTTTCCTTTGGCATTCCGATAGCTCCGATGTTCGCTTCGTCGAACAACCTCCGCTCGCACGCTCGATTATTCGTCGAACGACCAATGGATAATTAAAACATCCTTCCGGTCGCTGCGTTTCTTTCCGGAAAAGCCAGTTCCCACAAAACGCGACAAACAAACATTAATACATTATATGTGTGGGATAGGTATTTACTTGCATAAATTTCGTTATATATTTGAAAGAAACCCCTATGAAATCCGAAAAATCCTCGTTATGTGCTTGTTACGAAAATCTTATTGTTATCTGTGAAAAGCGAAGTTGTTTTCAAACTTCGCCGGCTTTCTTTCCCTAGGTAGTGTAAGTGAATCTTTATCCGTGACACGCACGAAATGTGTTAAGAAAAATAATGTCGTCGTTAATACTTTTCGTGAAATCCAAGCAATTGTTTTGGATTTTATTTTATTTTTTTAACGCGCAGATATTTTAATTGAATTGACGCCAGCTTTTGGAAATAGGCGACACTATACAGGGTGTCTCAGAAATAGGTGTCAATATTTGAGAAGCTGAATCTACACACTACATCAAGTAAAAAATATCCTATGGACAAGTGTCTTACGTACCTCACATTTACAAACAATATTTGTCGCAATGAATTGGGAAAGATGTTATGTGTTATTCTCGCGACTTCAGTACAGTTCTGTAATGAATTCATATACTTTTGCTGAAATGACTGACATGCATTTCATGCATGGCCTTGCCAACATTAGTCATTTATGATTCGCAGGATATTTTTTACTTATATTAGTGTGTGGATTCAGCTTCTCAAGCATTGACATATATTTCTGAGACACCATATATAACGACCGATATATGTATATTATACAACTAATAAGTACTACATATAATTGTAACCTAATGGTAGTCAGTCACACTTGAACAACAGTATTATAAATTGTAAAATAAAAGTGCTCGGTAAAAGGATGAAGAATTAAACGTTTATTTTTACAATAATTCCAGAATTGTGAACCAAATTTTAAACTTGTTTTTACTGGATTAACGTCACTAGAATCCCTTGCGGTAGAAGCTCTTCTGCATGCATAACAAATGAAACATAGTTTCGAATTTAATCAAATTTACACGGTTCGAAATTAGTCTTTGTTAATTTAGTATACGCTTGACATGCACGGAAATGACTGGTGAGCGATTAACTCTTCCAGTGCCGACCAAAAGAGTCGTGTCTTTTACATTATTTTTTAATTTTTCGAATAATTTCTACATTTCTTAAATCCTTTTTAAATCATTTTTAAACGATTTGTAAATAATTTTTGTATAACTTCGTAATAATTTTTGAATAATTTAATTAAAAGAAGCACACAGTAAGAAATAAGACTGATATTTATTAGAAAAATATAAAAAAAATACATTTTCTCAAGTGTACCCAATAACGATGTACATTTACGCTAATCTGACAAAAATAAAATAAATTGCATTGATATAAATATCGAAAGATGTTTTATCAGATGAAAAACGAAGATCACCTTGCAAGAAAAAAAATCAATCGCAATTAGTTGCTCGAACTAAGTGATTATTAGAATCCGTGCACGTATATTGTCCGGGTGTTCTGCGGAGATCGCGAGCGTCGAAAATTTGCAAAGTTATATATATATACGTAGGTATTAAATAGTTATCTACCTCGGACCAATGTAGCGACCATCCGGTGCTCCGCAGGTTAAAGTGCTAGTTACTTTTCCGTAACGATACCGCGATTGAACAGTTTGATTAAACCTTTGCTACGGGCCGAATAATGTTTCGATTAATTGTAGCAAACTGCCTCCCATCCAGGTAATATCATCGATTTAGCACGGATCGGGAATCGGGGGATCGGGAATCGCGATGCGCAAGGAACACGATGGCGATTCGGCCGGCAGCGCGAGGAACCACGCGCGATAAAACATTTCCCGTTCGATTCGAGCGCGACGCCATTAACCGCGGCGGTTTCGCGTTCGAGTTCGCTGGCCCGTGTTCCGCACGAGCGAAAATGCAAATTTCATTAAACGAAGCCCGCCGATATCCGAATATTATCGCGACACTGCGTCAACCGGCGTGCTCGATTCATAAATAACGTTCCGGCGGCTCTGCCGACGAGCACTTTCGGCCGATCGAAGCCCTCCGTTGCGCGACTGGCTCTGCGCCGTAATTGTTAAGGGACCGTTGAAAATCCAGGTCCAGGTTTATTGCATTTTTCTACGGATTAACGTACCGAAAACGCTTTAGAACCTGTCGATCCGGTATCGCGGATCGAACAATTTAACTGTACCACGAAGTTTTCATTATACGTTCGCCGCGACGAGGCGGGTTTCGATGACTTCCGAACGGAATAACTTTTTCAACCCCTCGTCGTAACGTTTCCCTCGTAGTTACAACGATTAGAAGTTTCTGAATTGTGATCATTTCTGAGACGAGGAATGACAATTTATATGTCTCGTGTATCGTTTGCTTGAACGTACAAATATGGATGACAAGGATTCAGAATTTTATTCAGATTAAAAAGAACGGAATAAACTGTTCATGCATGACGGGTTTATTAGTGGGCATCTCCGTCGAGAGACAGATTCGTCAAAGTATGACGAAGGGTTAAAATTGGAATAGGGTAAGTGTATCAATTATTGTGGCTATTAAAGTGACATGCGAAGTTCTCGACAAATCGAACAGTATCGTTTATCTGCAGTAGCGAACACATATTTAAGACCACGTGAAAAATGGTATAACTTCTTGAAACTCTAATACTTCTTCTAAATTTTGCGATTACTTGGAATGACAAAAAAGATAATCAAAAAACTCACGTTCTAAAGAAAGTTATACTGTTTTTCAAGCGGTCTTAAATATATGTCCGCTACCGTACATCGCACTTCTTAAAACATTTCAATGAAACGCTTGTGTCTTTTGTATAAGTACGAATTTTTTCATAATTGAAATATGTATATATATATATATATATATATATATATATATGTATAAGGATTGACGATAGGAATTTTCGATCTTACTCTGAACTATTATCACATCGTGATAGCGAATTGATAACACTAAGAAATGCGATAGATTGAGGACTCTTACTAAACAATACGTTGGTGGATAATTGTTGAATAAGCGAGAATAAAGAAGGCTATTCGCGTGAACAGGTCGATTATTTCGTTAGCGACCTCCGAAATAATGGTATCGGAGAAAATCTTGATAATTCTGGAGAATTTTTTTGTGAGAAAAAGAAGTGGTATACATGATAGAGTGAGTGCATGTGTGCGCGACAGTTATGTATGTGAGTAAAATAAGATTCAAGCGTGAGGTGTACAAGCTGAGCTATGAAAATTGAATTTAGTTTACTTTGATTATTCATTCTGCGTTCAAAGACAATCATTTTTATAATTTCTTGTTCGCCGTTGAACCTCCTTTTTTTAAATGTATTTGTATCTTCGAATTAAATAATTGCTTCTGAACCGTTACCTAACTTATAATATCAAAACTATAGTATAAATTTAATGGCACAAGATTATATTACAAAACTTATAACTATAGTATAAAAACATGGTATAAAATCTTTTTTTTTCATTTATCCAAACACGTATATCTTTCGCTGAAACTGTTCAAGTGAATAGTACCGTATGCGTATCAAGAATACGTGATCTTTATTGCATATCGCATGCATGTGTAACACATTAGAAGAACCTTGGAACGACCTTGACCGACGCTAATGTATTTTTATTGTATTTGTTTGTTTTCCTTTAGTTGAGCCAATCGTCACTCTGAAGATGGACTCCTCGTTGAATCCGAAGAAGATCAAAGAGGGCGACGACGTCTACTTCGAGTGCAACGTTAGGGCGAATCCTAGGGCTTACAAATTGACATGGTTTCACGAGGTACGTTGAAGCGACGACAGTCGTTCCTCCTCTTCCCTCCTTTCGCTGTCGCGTCAAAAGGAGATAACCCTGCGCGTTCGGGCACCGGACGCGACGTTGCGAGACGAAATAGAGGGAGAGAACGTGCGATGGCGCTCGTAAAAAAGCTTCTCGATGAATCGACACGGGCACGTGAAATTAGGCGACACGGCGTACACGGGCCGGGAGAGGGTTTCTCGTCGTGTACGTTTTATCGCCCCGGCCCGTAAAACACAGGTACAGAAGCATAAAACTGACGTAATAACTCGGCCGCGCGATACCGTCTCCGGAATTCGGGATATTGTGCTGTAATAGAGAGCGAAATATAGTACAGTTCGATAACTGCCCGGTTTTTCGGAGTCCTTTTGCTTTTCCGCGCTAATTGTGACGCTTTCTTATCGTCAATTTTTACCTCGCGCGGCCACCGATTGTCGTTTAATACTTCGACCGTCACGAATTTAGAAAAGTTTCACGAAATTAAAAGTATCGTATTTAGGCGAAACGAAAATGGAAAAGTTTAGTTGTGTCGCGTCGACTACTTTTTCAACAGTCTCAGGTTTTATGGATCCTAATGAATCTAGGATGATGTAATTAGTCAGCGTAAAAATTCATTTTCATGTTTGAGCCATATTTCACCCGCATATGGCTGACGTTGCACTCAAACTACAATTAAAGTGTATATTTTATAAAGAAATTATACCAAGTCCGTGCATTTCATGCACTTGGCAATTTTCAATATAACAAACACGGCCGCGCATTTAAAGAGTTACAGTGGTGAGGGTGCATCGAACTTAAAATCCAGGGGAAGTATTTTAAAGTAGAGGTTTTTCGAGCTTTAATTTTCAAGATTATATATTTTTAATTATTATATAATTATATTATATAATTATTATATATTATTATTAATTATATTAATATAATATAATTATTATATATATTATTATATATTATTACTTATTATATAATTATGTTTATATTATATTTAATTATTATATTATTTAATTTTCAAATTTTTATCGGAAATTTTTCAATGCTATAATTTTTTCAGTAATACAATGTATATGTAACTGTGATAGCTAAACATTTTCATTTCGTCGCCGGAAACTGTGAAAAAATTCCGAGAGAATCGCCAGATAGAGCCTTGAATTTTTCTATAACTTTTCATTGAACAATCTCCTTCCGAAGAACTTCGATAATAGTCCGTTTTCAGGCCTGCAGACGAACGGATAAGAACAGAGTCACCAATCTTTCTAAATCGTCGCGAGCTGACCGTTTTTCCTCTGGAAATAGTAGAGTCCGCTAAGCAGCCAGTTTCAGAGCTTTGGAAGTACCTTCCGGTCTCTGAGAAAACTCGCGGCACATTTGCGAATGGAAACTCTCACCACTGTTTCCCGTTGTTATAGCGCGCTGACACAGCACCACAGTAAGACGAATGACCATTCTAGAGGTCAGGAAAAAAGTCATACATCGTTTTCTCCTATTCATAGCGAATGAAATGACTATTTCAGACCTTTCTACGAAGATAGGACCATTTAATAAAACTGTATATCTACATATACATACGCAAAATATTACTGTTACTATTACTAACTACTTATATGTATATAAACACACCTCCACATATCTAAACTATACAAAATGTATAAATATAGCAATATATTTTCGAATATGTTGTATATAAATATACATGTATACAAAGTGAATAGTTATGAATAATATAAATATTAGGTCTACCGGAAAGTTCTGTCCGTTTGAGAAATAATAGATTTTTCATAAATTTAGTAATATTTATTGTACAATATAATTTCCGTCGTTACTTATGACGGCGTGATGGCAATTTGTGAGCAACATTTCTCAAAAATATATATGTCTCAAATGAATATGTGTATATCTATCGAAATTTGCAATGACATTATCGGACAGAACTTTCCGGTAGACCTAATATCAAATAGTTAAATATTACGAAATAAAATCGGAATCCCAATCGTAATCGAATTCCCAATCAGTATCGGACTGTGAACAATTTTCGGACTCCACAGCGACATCGGACGGTAGTTCTGGTTCAGTAATCAATTGCAGTACTTCTACATGCAATGAATTGTTATTTCCCTTCGGTATGTCCCTAGAGTGGTGGAGCCAGTTACTGTGAGGTGACCAATCGCTATGCCTTTGCTTCGTTTTCGAGCATAATTAACCTGATATTTATCGAATAACAATTTTAATAAAAATATTGAGTATGTCTTATTCGAAAGACTCAATATGTTTCGCTGGAAAACGCAGCGATTAAGTCTGAATCTGTTGAAATTTTAGTAAACTGTCGTATAACGAAAACACGTTAAGTGAAACTTGTTATTCACTATTAATATTGAATTTCTTGCATTACGATTATCTTCTTAATGATATGCAACGGTCATTCGCGCCGACTGATTTGTCAACTTCTCTTCGTTTGTACCGATGATTTCATCCGAGAGTATGCCGCAGGCAAAGGGTTGAATGTGTTGTTAAGAAACCCGAAGTCAATTATTGTAATATAATATATAATGTATAATATATAATAGTATAATTATATATATAATATAATATAATATAATTATATATAATATATCATAAATTACGCGTGTATTTTTTTATGCAAAACATTTCGGAGAAAGAATATATGAAGGATACGATGATTAGTCCCACTGGCGAGAGTTTAAAACGCGTCGTTGCCGATGAATGGGCCAGGGGAAATAGGCGTGAAGAAGGTAAACGGGGTCGTATCGCGAGGCCATTGCTTTTTGGACCTGGGCCGCCAAAAATCTCCTGGAAAACTGGTGGCCGTATCGTCCTGGAAAGCCCGAGCGTTATCTTCGGTCAGTCGAGGATCCTCGAGTTAAGCCTCTTAAGGGGGATTATGCTTTCCGTCATTCTCCCGGTGCGAACGGCTCTAAGTTCTCCCAAGGGGTCGCTGAAATCCGGGGAGCATCTCGTCCCCACTCCCCCCTCCCCCTCCTATCCCTCCCGTTCGTTTTCAGAACGATCTTTCGAGCCGGTTCGCCGGTTTCCGGCTCGTCTGCTCGGCTGCAACAGCCCGTCTGCAACAGCCCGCCTCATGCATGCAAAGCCGACAGTTTCGCAAACCGAATCGAACGGCAAAAACCTCCTCCCACCCCACGAATCGATTCTTCCTTCCTCGCAGCGATTCGCCGAGGAGTCCTGTACGCGGCGATCCTCGCTCCCGTTCTTTCCAGTTATTTAGTAAAAAATTGTTATTCAATGAAATACGGGGCGGAAGAAGGCGTTCGGAATCGGCGGACGTTCCCTTTGAACGGCTCACAAAGCTCGCGAAAAAGGGGACGAAAGTTTCCGACGCGGACGGAACGGCTTCTCATTCATCCTTTCGCGCCACCGGGAGCTATGGTGGCGGGGTCTGTGTCTACCGAGTTACGGTGCAAGAACCGCGATGAATCGACGACAGGAAGCGACAGCGACATTTGAAAGGATTTCGCGAATTATTAATAGACAGCGAATGTTTATGCGCCTCCATATTTTCGAGCTCGAGAAACGGCCCGGCGAACAGGTCGACAAATATGGCCAAGTTTCCGTCAAAATCGTAGAAACTGCGACCGAAATAAGATTGTTTATAATATAGGAACCGATAAGATATTTATTCGGATTTTTAAGGAAAGTCATTGTAATATTTGCCGCGAGTAACACGTATTGTTGAATGAATAACGCGTAAATTTATCTTTGCAATCTGAACGATCGTAAATTAAAAAATTAGCGACACTAGTCAATTTAACGGGTGCTGTAAATCTATTGTTAAATTAAACATAAAACGTTCTATAATAAGAGAAAGTTACAAAGAGCCTTTACAAATTACCTTGAAAATTGATATTTTTCGATAAAATTTTGGTTTATCCATTTTGACATGTGATTAGATTTTTTTTCTTGACTTGTTGAGACAAAATTTTTTTAGCATGACCAGACCGCGGATTTTATGCATTTATGACAAAAACGAGTGGCAGCAATTTGAAACAATGAACAAATTAAGATAATCGAAGAGTATCACTATCCTCAACTCGTTGAATTTATTAAATAAAAAATTAAATGTATATCTGGCACCCGCCTCTTACAATCGACGCAACTAATTTTTATTTTGCATAAAGATCCGCAATCTAGCCGTGACTACTGAAAGACTTAGACTATTTTGAAGTCACATTTGATCTTGTTCTTCTCGTTAGAATTTAGCAGAGGCTTTCAGATATACAAATTTTTATATCATAATTTTGCTGTTCTTTCAGCTCAGACAGTATCTTCGCCAAACGCCTTCTCAAGAGGCCGAGTATTTTTCGTTCAAACTAAAGAAGCCTGGCTCCTAGAGGGTTAAGTAGCCGCAGTTAGTGCGTCAATCGATTCCAACTTCATTACCCCTGCAAATATATTCACGAAACTTCTATACGCGGTCCCCGAGACGGTTTAGAGATCGTTAATAGAGTCCTCCATTTTTAAGATGTACACCCGATTCAAAACGCGAACGGCACCCGCCATCCCCCCATCGCGAACCGCGACTTCTTAATCGAGCAAATCGCGTGCGATTCTTAATTAACGGGATCGCGGTAATGGCAGAAATTACGGGCGAATGAACTCGAATAATCGGGAGCTGGTAAAATCGGGTGCGACAGGGGCGTGGGAGGACAGCGGCGGGTAAAAAAGTTTTAATAAAAGGACGCCCCCTTTTCCGGGGGAATATGATTCAACGCTGGAAGGGTCGAGGAAGGAAAAAGTAAGAGGAATTCGGTGAATAAGTAACAGAGTTTCGAAGTTTCGGGGGGAGTTCTTCTCGTGGCGGTGGGCGGGCCGAGCCGAGCGCGGGGTGGTGGGGGTGGGAGGAAGGGTGTTCGAAGGCGTCCCGAACGATCCGTTGGCCGGTCCGAGCGATATCTTCTGCGCGGAAGCGTGTTCGCGTTCACTCTGCCGAAATTATTGTATATTTACGAGCT